GACTTGGTAGGAATACAGTACGCAGGATAGGCACACTGATGATAGGTTGCAGAACTATACTCCGCCCCAAAGGGCGGGGCGTGAATATATACTGTTCGTTTGGACCCAGACCAATGAAACTTGAAGGCACAATGAGTTGGCTTGGAACATTGATGTTAGCTAACATAGTAGACCCAGCCGCGATGAAGTCTCTGAAAACTTGTTTTCTCCGAATAATCGCCTTTGTGATATTATACGATGTTCAGCGAAGATGGCTTACAGAAAAAATGGCTCCCAATTCGGAGCTAATACTGAGGGTGTAGGGCTTTCAAAGAAAAAGGAGAATCCGAAGTGTTATTTACGTACAGCAGCCCTCACAGGAAGGAAGAGCGCCCGGCGCAGCCGGGCGAACCCTCAAGAAGGAGGGAAGCCCGGCGTTAGCCGGGCGTCTCGACTGGTAGAAGATATAGGAGCGACTGCATGTTTAGGACAAGCGCAAGACGACTGTCATCGGTTAGCTATTACAGCACGGTATCATCACAAGAACTCTCGTGTAACCTTGTTTATGAAGATGTCTAAAGACGCTGCTCGGATCACACTCTCGGTTCGGAGATGCTGAAAACTCTCTGCCCGTAGCCTCCGGCTAACTTCGCTGAGAAGAGCTGATCATCGTTACTTGTCGTTCATCATAAGAATTGTCGTCGCTGTTGTAATTCCAGGTTGAAAGAGAGCGAATAAGCGACTAGAATAGCCGTAGAAATGGCTTGGTCCTGAAATTAGGGTCCCAAAACCGGCTCAGACGCACTCAAAGGAGGACGAGTTCTTCCGACGTTGTAGAGACTGTAGCGTTTGCACCGCTCGCATCGCTACGCAAACTTTGCACGCAGGTAACTTACGGTAACCAGCTGCTTACAATGACACAACATTTGAGCAGCTCCAAATATCCCTTCCATGCAACTTTTGTCGTCACGAGCTCTTCCGACTCCTAACTTTACTACTTTTTCAAAGCGTCGAATTTCTTCAAATACGCTTTTTGTGTTTCCTTCTAGCACTTCATTTCCTCTTCTAAATGCGAATATCTCAAAATTTTTGTGATACGCCGTTATGTTGGAGTTCGTGGAACGGGCAGTGGAGCCGCGAGACGACACAACATCGTTTATAAGAGGAGCACTCGTAGACCTGGTTTGATATTACCAGGGGTAGCTCTAAGAATGTTTTAGTATGCGGCAAGGCTTCCAAACAACGATCTGTGTAAATTTGGGTTCCAAGACTTTTACATCAACATAGTATTTAGAACTGATCAGACTCACATTGAAAATCTTGTTCACCGGTGAACATGAGAACAAACGACTTTTCTTCTCATAGTCCTTAGCGTCATTCATTATTTGTGATCCACCCTTGTAATTTTGCTCGAACGATATTCGCTTCGTCACCTAAGAGCATTCAAAGTTACTTTGGTTCCTCCGTAACCTTCATGACGGAAATCCTACTTGATAGGACAATCTCGTCATAAAACTCAGACGAGCGTTGATGCTCCTATCAATTACCTGATTGGTGTCTTCATGAAGAGCATCGAGAAGAAACAATTGAAATTCGGATGCATCATGTTGATGACCGTCAGCAAGGCAAGAGTTCACTTGGCTAGCGAACAAGCGCTTAAATAGTAAAAAGCCACTATAGGAGCAAGCGAATTAGTGTGAGAGAGCTGATCTTTAGTAACGCGTATTAGCTTCAATGCTGTGTTTCTGTGTTTTAGGGATTCAAACCAATCCAGGCCTCATAAAGGCAGATTTCACGATAAAAATAGTTTGAGATTTCCCATATATAAATATAAATAATATATATATATACACCATACCTCGGTTATAAAGTC